CCCTTAAAGTTGCTCTACTATCTAAGTGAAACTCATTGCAAACTCCCAGTCTGTAGCACTAACAATTCATCAAAAAAGGAAGTTTTATGACAGGCAACACTTATAATAAACAACTAGTTCCCATCAATGTAGTTACTCTTTCAAATATTCTTTCTAGAATCTTAATAGTAATATTTCCAGCTTTGAGCAGACTGTAAATAATTTAAGATGAATTTTGAATTTCTGGATCATAATCTGGTCTACTTTTGAATTTGGAAATTCGAAACCAAATTGTCCACAGAATGTCAGCTTTAGCAGTGTTAGTAACCATGTGTATATTTTTATAATAGTTAGTGATCCTTTCCATTACAAGTAGCAAGCAATTTACATTAAATGTATGTTTTAGAAAAGTAGTGCTATTTCTGGGCCAGGCACTGTAGCTAGTGCCTATAATCCCAGCACTTTAGGGGGCTGAGGCAGGTGGATCACTTGAGGTCAGGAGTTTGAGACCAGCTTGGGCAACATGGTGAAACATGTCTCTACTAAAAATATAAAAATTAGCCTGTTATGGTGGCATGGACCTATAATCCCAGCTACTCAGGACACTGAGGCATGAAAATCACTTGAATCTGGGAGGTGGAGGTTGCAGTGAGCTGAGATTGCACCATTGCACTCCAGCCTAGGCAATAGAATGAGATTGTGTCTCACAATAAAATAAATGAAATGAAAAGAAATAAAATGGTAGTGCTATTTCCAAAAACAAGTTTCCACATCATGTTAAGTGTTTGAAGTGACAGTCAATAAAAAGTTTCTAAATCTGAGTAAATTTCCAAATTATGTCTTCATATACTAACACAAAGAAGCATACAAAGGCCCTCATAGGTTGGAAAAACAGGAAGTTTCTATTGCTAAAGAGTTAAGGCAAGTGTTCACACTGGGATTGCTCTTAAGGTCATGTTTTCACATTTTCTAGAACTCTGGAAATTATTAGTAGCTAGTATTGCACTATTTGGGCTTCTTTGGATTCAGAAGTTTTACAGTTGACCATATCACTAAAGTTCATATATTTAGAAATACACTGCTTTTTCAAAGTACATACACAAGAAGAATATGAAAATAAACATTTTTTATTTTTAGTGATTAGTTGACCTATGGTTAACTACTTTTTTTTCTTAACCTTCTCTAAGGAAAACAAAAACACTAAGACTTTAAGTGAACAAATTTTTATTTAAAATTTGAAGTAGGTTAAACTGGGGCAAATCAGAGGTCTGCAGTTTTGCTGTAAATATTTTAGGTTTTGTGGGCGTATAGTCTTTGGTTTAGCAATTCCATGCTGCCACAGCCATAGACAAGATATAAACAAATAAGTATGGCTGCAGTCCAGTGAAACTTTATTTTGGACATAGAAATTTGAATTTCATATAATTTTCAAGTGTCCTCAAGTATTTTCTTCTTTGGATATATTTTCATGACTTAAAAAATATGAAAACCAATCTTGGCTTCCAGGCCATACAAAACAAACAATGGGTCATAGTTTGCCAATTCTAGAAACAGATGGAGCTGTGAGTTTCAACTCAACACAGCTTAATATGATTGTATGAAGTTCATCAGTGATTTTAGAAGTGTGCAGATTACTAGATTAGGTTTATTGGAAGCAAATTCACCAATTCTATTCTATAAAGCTCTGGTGTAAGAAACATAATTTTGGATACTTCTCAAATGCTGCAAATTTGAAACAAAAATTTTGTGAAATTAAGAGAGATGAAATACCAAAGCCAGATTTTTCCTTATCCCAGATTAAAGAGCATAAATTCTCTTTCAATGTTTCAGATGGTTGCAGGTGAGTTATGTAGAACTGGATTTATACTTTGTGGCCTCCAATAGGTGAATGCTGTAAAGCGAGATGGGATTGTGCTTTGAGGGAGACAGTCAAGCATAAGTTGGAGGACTCCTTAGTGAAGAGGTACCAGGCATTTAAGATTACTATGGGCGGTGAAACTAATCTTTAAGGGTCCCTAGTAAAGGTTATGATTCTATGACTTGGAAAACAATTTAAAGAACTTACTATTTTGGTTACCTAGATAAAAAGCTGAAGATGGCTCAAAATGTTGGGGGTTGGTGAATTATTTAAGAATAAAGTTGCTGAGAGAATGACGTATGTGAATAGTTTCTACCTTTTAAGGAGGAAGGAGTTAATTCAAACTAGTCTTGTGTAGCCAAAGCCTCCAGGCAAGACTACATCAAAACCTATATGACGTAATAAATGCTGGAAAAGGGGTCAATCATCCAGGAGTCATTGCTTTGGCATTGTCAGATCACATAACTTGTTGGATTCACTTGTGTAATTTGGCACCTGGGAATACAATTTACCCAATTGCCTTTAAGCCCTGATATGTTAATAAGACCAAAGGGCTGTATAAATTTAAGGTAATAAGACTGGGTGGTTCTCAAACACTTTAGAACTTATAAAATTGAGATGACACCCTTTCTTCCACTCCAACTCTTTTAGCCTGTTTGTAAATGTACAGAGCTAGGTATTTATCATACTCCGAGAAATAGTTTCTAACGAATATGGAATAATCTGATTTTTTTTTTTAGATGATATCTCCCTCTGTCCCCAAGGCTGGAGTGTAGTGGTATAATCTTGGCTCACTGCAACTTCTGCCTCCCCAGCTTCAAGCGATCCTCCTACCTCAACCTCCTGAGTAGCTGGGACTATAGGTATGTGCCACCATGCCTGGCTAATTTTTGTATTTTCAGTAAAGATGGGATTTCACCATGTTTGGCCAGGCTGGTCTCGAACTCTTGACCTCAGGTTATCCACCCGCCTCGGCCTCCCAAAGTAAATTCTATTTTTCTAGACTACTTTATCTCTTACACTCAAAAAGGTGTTGATATTTCAGAAGTACCTCACTGGTTCTTTTTCTAAGCTACACAGAAGTGAGAATGAATGCATTTATATCATTTTGGTCTTTGGAAATTCTTAACATTTAATCTTGGTGATATCTATTGCAAAATACATCCAACTTCTTACTTTTAATACGCTGGCCATTTAAACGTGCTTGTGCTATTTTAATGGGTAACACACAAGTGAAAATAAAATCTATCTATTAATCCATTCTGTAATGTCTCTCCTAGCTCAATAAATTCATACCTGGTTTTTCATAATAATGGGTAGAGAGTGAAATTTTGTGAAAGGATTCTTTGGCCCAACAGAATCTAAATACTAAATTATTGTTGTGTGTAAAACAAAAGTGAACAAATGAGCTATCATAGCAAGTAAGAATTGTAAGAGAACTTTGGCTTCTATATATTGGGATGTCTGTCTTGGAAAACAAGAAAACTGAATATATTCAGGACGCTTTGTTTTTCAATGTTCTCCCCATCTTTTGATATTCTTCAGTACAAACAAGCAGTATCAATAACTCAGAGTCTTGTGCCCCTGCTTTGAGGGCTACAGACATAAAGGCCCCCATGAGAAAATAGAATACCGAGCAAGCTACCATAGATGCTATAAGAGAGGTTCAGATAAAGTTCAGTGGCCAAGAATATTGAGTGCTTGCTGTGTGCAAGGCACTGTTGTTCCCGCTTAAAGAAATTGAGGATAGGGACAAATGCATTTAGACAACAGTACAGAGTGAGAGTGACATTAAAAATAGTGAAGAAGAGGTATTAAAACCGAAAGTAAAAAGAAAAAAAAAGTCTTTTTTTCATGATTCTAAGATAACCTGTTTAAAGATGCAGAGAACCAGAGATAGATAACAGGTTATCTTGGAGTCATTCTTTGGGGATGATCTTTTTAAAGGCAAGAAACCTTTGGTTAATAGCATACACGTTAAGTGTAACCATTTCTACTTAAACAGATCCTTTAATCCACTCCTAGATGTATATTCAGGTATTATTTGACTTTTTTGTATGCAAAATTCAAGTGTTACATATTCGGCCTTTCTACTTCACTTAACAGAAATAACCCAAACCGGTTTACACTTTCCCAACAGTTTTACATGCCTCCCACCAAGGAAGTTACAGGACATCTAGTTAGCTCTGTGTTCCCCCTTCTAACAGAAGAGAGCATTATATGAATGGGGTGCTGCAAAGGGAGTGGCTCCTGCAAGCAAGCAGATATTAAAGTGTATTTTCAAAGGAGTGGAGTTTGTGCTTGTCAACAAACTATTCGCTGTAATTACTTCCTATTCACTGGGATCGCGGTGCAGCCTGCTGACTCACCAGGCTGCTGGAGTGTGTTTCTGCCGGGTTTCCCTACTGCCTGCTACACATGAGTCATCACAGGAATCAAAGTTTCTATCCGTCTCCCTTAACAACAATGCAGAAACCAGGCATTGAAGTAAGCTTCCATCTTTCCAATCAGACCCTAGCCAGGGAAGGGAAAAATGATGTAGTAGGTGTCACCACCAGCCAGAGTGCTAGACGACAGTGCCCCACCCCAGGGTGTTAGTCATCGACACCCCAGTTTCAGCGTTTCCCTCACCCACCCAAATAATTAAAGTGGCATCTTGTCTTGCGATGTCTGCTGCTGCTGCTGGCCACCGAACACTTCCTTTGCTATAGAGGTTCCCCAACTTTGCTGCACAATGAAGTCACCTGTGTTTGTTTTTCCTTTTAAATACTGTGCCTATTTCTCACTTTCAAACAACCTGATTTAAATAGTTTGGGATGTGATCAGGACATCAGGAATTCTCAAAGCTCCACAGGTGATTCCACTATGCAGCAAAGTTTGCGAACCAGTGTTTTGAAGAAGCACAGCTCTACCCACACAAGGAAAATTATCTACGAGTTAACATTATCTACCAATCACTCGGTGAGCTACCAGACCTCCTATCTCACCCCTGAGGTCTTTAATCGGTTTGGCAGAAAAGAACAAAAGCAAAGTAAAGAAGCATTTCATTTCCAGAGGGGACACTGGCTAACCCAGGAGCATTCTCCTCTTTGCTTAATAAAAACTTAGCCAAAAATTTAGCGTTCAAGAGAAGCAGGGGAAATGTTGCTATTCTTCAGATTACCTTTTGATCTCTGTTCTGTTTCATTCCAGTGTCCTATTCAGCAAAGGTGTAAATCGCGGGTCGTCAGATTATGAGTAGGTGCTGCGTCTGACCACAGTCGCGACCGGTCTGCACGCTTCACCCCAGCTGGGACCGAACCTCCGCCTCGCCGCGCGGCCCCAGGGCCGATACTATGCTAATCAAGAAAGTTCTTCCGTTTCGGTGCGCGCGGGCGCGGGTTTGAGCTCTTAACCCTTGATTTTACATTGACAGGACGGTAGTGTTTTTAGAGACCTCCTCCTGCCTAGCGGGTTTACACTATTTTCCCTTTTTTTATTTTTGGAAAAGGAGATGTGAGCAAGTGATAGGACACTCAGGGAGGGGACAGCAGTGTTGGCTGGTGCCGAGGTGAAGGGTCGGCCAATGTTCGGAATATTAATTACTCCCGGAGCTACTGACCCGGCGAAGACTAGCAGGAGGGGCCTGGGGGTTAAGACAAAGGCTCCTCCTGATCAAATGGCTGCAGCGCCCCTTCCTCCAAGGTTATGGCCTTTGCACTGGAGAGACGAAGTGACTGGAGGAGTGACGAAACCCACTAGCCCTTCTGGGGTCTGAAAGTTAGCTTTGTCGAGCGCCCCAGGTTCAGAGGGGATGGCTCTCTGCTTCCACCCCTCTCCAGGCTCTTTGTGGGATTTCTGGTTTCGGCACAGCCCTTCTAAGGGTAGACCGAAGAGTTTCCTACTGAGCAGAGTGCGAAGTCGCTGAGTAGCCCTTGCCCTGCGCGCTCCGTGCTACCGGCAGAAGAGCCGCTGGGGCGCAGAATAACAACCCGCTTCCTTTTGCGCCCACCCAGCTCCTGAGTCCCGGGAGCGCGGGTGGTGGCGGGTGTCGCAGTGGGAGAGTGGTGGCTGCCGAAGGGGAAGTGCCGGTGGTCCAGAGGGTGCTCGCAGGCAGGCGAGCACCGCACTTCCTGATCTGACCCCAGCGCGCAGCCCTTGCCAGCGCCCCCCGCTCTCAGTCCTGGCGCCCCAACTCGAGCCTGGAGGGCCGTGCGCTGCGGTCGCGCAATGGCGAGACCCCCCTCCACCAAAGCTGTCTTCCTACCCTGGACAGCCCCAGCCTCACCCCTCCAAAGCAGTCCACTTCGCTTCTGCCAGCGTGGCAGCCCCAACTCCCTCCCCTTTCCTGGGGTCTAAGCGCTGGGGCCCCGAATCAGAGGTGCGGCCCGCGGTAGCGCAGTTGGGTGCACGCCCGTAGACAGCCGAGCGGATCCCTGCACAACTTCTTGCTAGACTCTGGACCCCCGTTTCCGCTTGCTCCGAGCCCAGCGGGCTGCAGACCTCGGCGGCAGGAGGAGGCGCAGCCAGCTCCCGGCCTGGGAGGAACTGCTCCAGGGCAGGAGGTGTCGGGGTGCGCCAGGGCGGTACCGCTTTAAATGCACTTGACTCACCTGCTCCGGCGAGGTCGCCTCCTTCCTCTGCTGACAGCTGGGGGCTTTGTTTTCTCCACCCACCCGGTCGGCCGCGCTCCGCCCCCTCTATCGCACGTGACTCGCCGTCTGCCACCGCCACTGCCGCCGCCGCTCCGCGAGTCCACCCGAGAGAGCCCGGCCAGCGCCGCCCCTTGCCTAGGGTGCGGGTGCGGGTGCGGGTGCAGGTGGGCGCCCCGCTGGGCATGTCCCAACCGACCAGCCTGAAGACGCTGTCTCAGGCCAAAGGAAGCCAGGCTGAATTCGTGACAGGGAAGAGAGTGGCAGCAGGTGAAATAAACTAAGTGGTTTGACCCCACTCGAGAGGGAGGAGGCGGGTGTGGCTTGCAGAGGGGCTTTGAAAAGGCGCCGCCACACCCTGAATTAAGTACCTGCAAACGAGGGCTTGCGCACCAACCGGGGTGCATCTACTTTTTACACTAAGTGTTTGTACTCCTACCTGGAGCACGATTGATAATGAGGGGCAAACTAGTTTTGTCGTGAATATTATACTAATTAAACTAGGCAAAGGTAATACAATTAATAATAATAGCATGTTTAATTGTGGTTTCTAATTTGCTTGTTGATGCTGCTGTGTTTTGGATCTATTTGGAGAATGGAGTGCAGGCTGGAGAAGCGAACTCCAGAAGTTTACTGATGTGGGCACTTGTCCATTTGGAACAGCAGCTATTTTTAATGAAATGAGAAAACGTTCTGGCTTCAAGACCCACTCAGATCTGCTGCTTTTGGAAGTGATCTCGATCGGTGCTGATCACAGTGATCTCTAGTGTTTTAAACAGCAAGGACTCGTCTGAATCCTTCTGTTATAGCCTTTGGAGAACACATATATACCTTCCCTCCCGCGCCCTGCAAATTGCTACTCGGGGAGGCGGGGAAAGACTGTCTCCCGCCGCGTTCATTAAAGCCAGGTCTCCGTAGTGGAGTGATTTAGCACAGTGCTGCCCAAACTTTAAGAGGGATCACCTGGGGATATTGTTGAAGCCAAATTTGATTAAGCATATCTGGAGTTGGGCCTGAGATTCTGCATTTCTAGCAAACGCCCAAGTAACGCCATTGCTGCTAGTTTGAGGACCACACTTTCAGTAGAGAGATGCCAATCACCGCTTTGGCATTAGCCAGCCTATTTTGAGTCCTGACGACACCACTTGTTAGCTGTATGGCCTTAGGCAAGTTTCTCAACATTTAAGCCTCATATTCTGTAAAATAGGTATGATACTAATTTTCACTTCACAGGGTTGTCTTGAAGATTAAGTGAGAAAGTCCATATAAACCCCTTAGTGTAATGCCTGGCACACAAACCTAGGGTTCAGAAAATGCTAGCTAATTCACTGTAGAGGTCATCCTTGCAGGGGGAAAGCTGGCACCAAGTGCAGCGTGGCAGCAGGGGGAGCAGTGTGTGAAATGGGCACAAGGGTGAATGTAGCCAGCCCAAGAATGAGGACTGTGCCCTGTAGTGCCTAGCATGTGCCAGATGTGTAGGACAAGTTTGATGAATAAATAAATAACTGTAATGTGGAACAGATCATATGCATTCTAGAAGTTCTGCTTCTCCTTTAAATAATGACAAATTAGTTCTGAGACATTAAATTAAAAAATCATTTTGCTTTTTATTACAGATAATGTCCAGCTGCCTGTCACATGGGTAATCTATTTTAATATCTGAGAGAATAAATGGATTGTTAAGGTTTAGTACATTTTTTATCCTCATTAAAAACCTTGAAATTTAAATTTAAATGGATTTATTAATGAAGATATGGTATTCTTAGCTCTCAAAATGAATGGCTGTTGTCATCATAGTTCTCATATCTTCCTTCCTTGCTTCTCCTCCTCTCTCTGTCCTTTAAATATAAGTGTTTCCTCAGACTCATTTCTTGCCTTTTTTTCCCACTCTGCCATTTTCCTTAGAAATTTTCTGTGTCTTATGTTCGTCTTTCAAGTGTGTGCAGATTAATTCTGAATCAGTACCCACATTCTCAACCCATTTGCAAGCCTTATTTCTGCCTTTCCCTTACTTGCTAGGCATTTCCATTTCCACTAGCATTTAAAATTTATTTTTTCCACTTATACTCTAATTTTACTTGTGTAAATATATGGGGTACTTGAAAGATTTTCACATGTATATGATGCATCATGATCAAGTCAGAGTATTTATGATGTCTATCACGTGAATATTTATATATTTTTAAGTGTAGTCCTCTTATTCCCTATCACACATTAAATTTACTCCTATCTTACTATATTTTTGTACTCTTTAACCCACTTCTCTTCACTCCCCACCCCACTCCACTGACCCTACCCAGTTTGTCTGTTTCACTCTCCACTTCCATGTGCTCAGATTTCTTAGCTCTCACATATATATGAGAACATATTAGATCATTTTGTGCCTGGCTTATTTCACTTATGATAATGATCTCCAGTTTCATTCATGTTGCTGCAAATAATACAGTTTCATTTTTTTTTAATGGATGAATTGTGTTCCATTCGGCAGATACATTACATTTTCTTTATCTTTTCATCTTTTAATTGATACTTATGTTGATTCTGTATCTTTGAAATTATGAATAGTGCTGCAAAAACATGGCAGTTCAGGTATCTCTTTGATAAATTGATTTCTTTTCCTTTGAATAGGTGTCCAATAGTGGGATTGCTGGATCAAATGGTAACTATATTTATAGTTTTCTTGAGAAATTGCCATACTATTTTATATAGTGGCTATACAAGTTTACATTCCCACTAACAGTGTTTAAGAGTTCTCTTCTGCACATCTCAGCCAACATTTTTTTTGTCTTTTTATTAATAGCCATTCTGACTAGGGTATGATGGTATCGCATTGTGGTTTTGATTTGTGTTTCTTTGATTATTAATAATGTTAAACATTTTTTTTCCATAAACCTGTTGGCTATTTTTAATCTTCTTTTGAGATAGGTCTACTCTTGTCCTTTGCCCACTTTTTGATGGGCTTGTTTCATTTTTCCTGCTGAGTTGTTTGAGTTCCTTATGTAGTCTAGATATTAGTCTCCTCTTAAACGAATAGTCGGCAAATATTTTCTCTCATTAAACAGGTTGTCTTTTCATTTTGTTATTTCTTTTGCTGTGCAGAAATTTTTTAGCTTAATTAAATCACATTTGTCTATTTTTATTTTTGTTGTCTTTGTTATTGAAGTCTTAGTTATAAATTCTTTTCCTAGACCAATGTCCAGGAGAGTTTTCCCTAATTTTCTTCTGGTATTTTTATAGTTTGGGGTCTTTAAGTTTTTAATCCATTTTTAGTTTATTTTTGTATATGGTGAGAGATAGGGGATCCAGTTTCACTCTTCTGCATGTGGCTATCCAATTTTCTCAGCACCATTAATTTAAGAGGATGTCCTTTCCTAGTACAAGTTCTTGTCAGCTTTGTCAAAGATTAGTGGGCTATAAATATGTTGCTTTATTTCTGTGTTCTCTATTCTATTTCACTGGGCAATGTGGCTACCCACTAGATTTTAGTGTGTTCTATATTAAACCCCTTTCTCCTCCCATAAAACGGATACCTCCTTGGTGATAAATCAAGATGGTTATTTGCACTGGGGAGCCCTCAGTGCTAATCCAGGGACCTGACAAGGATGTGGAACCCAGTATGATTTATCCCAACTATCTTCCTGCTGCTCCCAGGTATTTCTTTGAGACACTGCTCTCAATAGTGACTGGAGTCAATTCATGTATATATATGTATACCACCTACTGGTGTAACAGCTACATATGCAGTTGTGGGATGCTACATAACTGGCGACTGAGCTAGCGAGAGACTGTATCAGTCAGGGTAGGATAGATTATGCTGCTGTAACAAATGCCATCAAAATCTCAGTGGCTTAATGCAACAAAAATAAATTTCCCTCTCATGCAAAATTTCTAGTACTACTATCACAATGACTCATTGTTCTAGCCTGCTTCATTCCTGTGACATTTCCATGAGCACCATGGCAGAGGAAGGGTGTGGAGAACTGCTCACCAAACTTCAAGTGCTTTCACCCAGAAGTAATACAGGTCACTTCTCACATTTCTCTGGTCAAGGAAAGTCACATGGTCATTGCCTAACTTTAAGGGTTATGTTTTGTTTCTAGGTATCACTAAGATTCCTAGAAAGTAGGAATCTTGGCGATAGTAAGTAATGCCTGCATAGGAATCCATTTCACATAGGAGAGTTAGGGATAAAGTTAGACTGAAAACAGTAGGGGATAATCATAGATTACCAGTTCAAGGAAGGTATTCAGTTACATGTAGAGTCTTTGAGAAACATTAATGGTGTTGTTATCATTATACAATATTATATAGAAAAACACTTAAAGGTGACAAATTCTCTCTCTCTGCCTGTCAGGGTTATCTTATGATTTAGCCTAGGTTAGTCTACTCCAGGCAAGAGTGGAGTTTGATCATCCAAACTCTTCTGTGGCACAACATTAAGGAAAGATCATCTGTCTTGTTTATACCCTAGCGAACACACTAACCATTAAGGAAGTAAGGTTATATCAACACTAACAAATTTGCTAGTTTTGATGACATTGTTGGTCATTCTCTCCTTGAGGAGTGGTATGTGTATAAAGAATAAAATATAGCAGTATCAAATTGTCATATGTTTTTCCCATGATTATCTGATTATGCGTTGCCAAAGAATTTTCTTGTCATGTTCATGGGAATGTTGGAATATAGTTTTGTGAGTAAAAATCAGTTTATAAACAAAGGGAAAAAACAGTGATATCAATGGCATGAAAAAAATAAAATCATGGTTTTCAATAAAATCATGGGTTTCTTTCTCCAAAGGGCAGAGATCATGTCGATTAAACTAGCTTCCTGCATCTTCCAACACTTCATGTGCTTAAAAGAGATAAAGGACCGATGAATGCTGTAAACTGTAAAATGCTATGCAGACACAGGAT